ACTCTTTCCTGCCTATGCAGGGGGTCGGACTCAATGATCTATGGAGGTCCCTTCCGACCCTAACATTTATGAATCTATGAATAAGAAACCCATAGAGTCCTGGTGAGAGGTTCTGGCTCTTCTGCTCAGGGTCAAACACCAAATTTAGGCTCTGGAAGGGTGTTCCCTCAGCTCAGACTGGCACAGCCCACAGCAGTTTTTGCCTTCCATAAAGCAGGGGCCTCATCAACCACAGGGCCCAGGTCTCTGCTGGTGCTCAGACAAGGGCTGAGCTGAAAGCAAAGATCTCACCTCTGCATCCTTCCCCCCTAGAAGGAAATGGCCAAAAATCACTAAGTGAACCCGTTAATTAGGCTAGGAGCTGACAATTAATTAAAACTGGGTCCTCAAAGATGTTTAGCAGCTTGGCTCGGGGCCTCTTTTGCACCATTCCTGATGAGCTGTGGGGCGGGATGACATCTAGAACCTGGTGGCTGCATTGAAAGAAAGCGCACCGGGGGGTTAAGGTCATCTCGATGTCCATGCTTTTGACCAGGAAAGGTGACCCAACCTCGGGCAGAGGGGGCACAGCATGGACCCCGATATGAAGCAGGGGTCAGCCACTGTTTGTGTGTACATCTCTCCCCCATGTGTAAGGGCTACAATTTAATCCCAAGTGCAATGGTCTTCGAGAGGATGCGGGGAAAGGGCAGAGCAGTGCCGTGGGGACAGGCGTTTGGGAAAAAAACCTACGCCTAGCATCCCGGCAGCACAGCTACCGAGGCAACGGGTGAGTGGGCGAGGAGGACTGCAGAGCAAGCTGCCTGAGTTAGAGAGAGCACTCATAGCTCAGGGGCTTATGCACTGGCCACCAGTGGCTTCCACCTATGGTGGGGACCCCTAGACAGACTCATGCTGCAAAAGCACCTGTTTTGAAGGAGAAAAGCAATCCTGTTGAGGGGGGAAAGGGCCCAGGGATGGGTTAGGAAATCACAGTCATGTTTATCTGGTCCCCTGCCATGCAAATCTTGATCAAGGCAACCAGGATGCCCCATTGAGACAGCGCCACAAATGGTGGGGGAATGAGGTTGGCAAAGACGTGACCCCGTTGAGGTCACACTGTGATGGAGAAGAACCAGCAATTAAATAAATGAAACCCAACCCCTCCAGGTCTGGGTGGAAACTTACCAGCAGCGGGGTGGGTTCTCTGTCCTCTTGTCTCCTGGGGGGGCTGAAAGATGAATGTGCCTTTTTAGTGGTTCCTCAAAGGACATTCGTCCCTGCCCCCCAGCTCCTTCCAAAGTTTCCAAACCCCATCCCTTTGCATACTAATTTGCATAGGCCGTAGGCCATTAGGCTAACGATGCTGCAGCTAGAAAAAAAGCAGACCTATTTGTTGTGCACTGGCAGCGCGCAATCAATAGATAGCTTGGCCAGGGGTCATGAGGAAGTGGCCCAGGCCAGGAAGAGGTGGGCCTGGGATTTCATTGGGCTGAGGAGATGTGTATCCAGGACCCGGCAATAAAAGAGCCTGTGAGAGCTGGAAGGAATCTCAAATCCAGCCCACAACATTGAGGATCTATGAGATTCCCTGCTCCGGCCTTTCAAAGAAGGAGCTGTCTTTTGTACAGTGCCTAGCATAACAGCCCTCGCCTGGGGCTGGCTTGATCCTGCCAATTCACCTGGGTGTTGTTATTTGCCAAGCAACAGCATTGGAGGCTGAGACTGGTCCCAAGAAACAAGGGGGAAGGAACCACAGATGCAGGGACAATAGGGTAGTGCCCACCTCTCTGCTACTTTTCATTAGGGGAGGATGCTGTAGCCGGGGTGCCTCATTGGGGGAATTTTTTTTATTTATTTTGGGGGTGTGTCTGTGATTGCGTATGCGGGGGCCTGGATTTAGGAAGCCCCTTGAAATGACTTGCCAGGGCACTGGCAGGGCCGGGATGGGAGAAGCCAAGTCTCCCAGAGCACACAACCATGCCCCACAGCAGCATGCTTGGATATGGGCCTTGCAATTGGAGCCAATTAGTGGAGAGCTGGAACCAAACTTGGGGAGAGAAAAAAAAACAAAGCCCCCACATGGAACCCAGCAGCTCCTCAGCACACGGCTATTGTTAGCATCCGCCCCTGCAGCTCTGTGTCCCAGCAATGTGCACGCATAATAAGGGTTATGTAACTGGGTCAGAGATGCCAGGAACTGAGCAAGGCGCGTCCCCTCTGGAGCCCGCACCACTGGCTACCTCAACGGCTGGTAGAGCCACTCCCAGAGCTGCTCCTTGGGGTCGTAGGGGTGCCTTTGGCCTGCAGCTGCCTCATCAGGCTTGCGCCTGCTCACCAGCCTGGACTGCCTGCGGGGAGAAGGAGCTGCATTTTAACGAGGGGGAAGTGAACAGAAGCAAATGAGGGGCAGGGTGAGGTATAGACCAGAAAGGCAATGCTGTCCCGTTAAATCATCTTGGGTTGAAAGCGGATTGCTTGGATTACTAATTGTGGTTCAAAGTGGATAGATAGATAGATAGATAGATAGATAGATAGATAGATCCTCCTGAGATCCATTCCTGCCCTGTTTTACTACAAATGCCCATAACAGGAACCAAGAGGCTGATATGAGGCTAGAAAACATTTGCTGCTACCCTTTTTGGTTAGGATGGTAAAGACAGGCCAGTTTCTGTAGCCAACAGGCAGCGAAGTCGTTAGCAACACATCCAGCTGCTTTGGACCCCCAGAATGATCAGGAGCCCAGAGCAGAGCTCAGTCACATACCACTGGGCACTTAGCAAAGTCCCTTCTCCTTTGAATGCACATGGAAACATTATTCAAGACTACATTTTATAGGAGACCAGATGAGATCAGCTCTGTCGGCCTTCACATTTACGAACCTCCCGCTACTGGGTGGAAAAAATAAAAGCTGTTGAAACAAGAAGCAGGCATTCAAGAAACATTCAAGATGGACCTGCTGGTTAGCACAACGACAATATTTCCCTACCATTCTCCAGCACAAAAGTACAGGCTCGTTAATGCTATTGCCTTTGCTTCCTCCCGGGCTTCTATTATTTGATGGGCTTGTTCGGTTTAATAACGCTAAATAATTAAACCAGGGGGTTTTTACAGCTGAGGGTGGCAAGGCAGAGGGGAAAACAGAAAAAACAAAAAAGAAGCTTGTATTGTGTTGTTCTTGGTTTTTTCTTGGCTTGTTTTAAAGGTTGTTCCTGTGAAGAGGCAAATGTGATATCCACGCACTGCACAAACGTGGTTGAGTTCCTGTGGTTTTCTTCCACTGCTGGAGGAGGAAAGGGGAGTAAAATTGTCCATCCAGCTAGAGTGAAAGAGGGGAAAAGAGGGTCAGATGCATAGAAAACTCAAGTGCCTCCACCCACGCCTCAAAGATCTCTCCCCTGCTTCCTGCCAAGGGAAGATGGTGGAATTTAAACCTGTCTCTGGCTTCTCAGCCTATTTTCACATTGCTTATTGTTAGCCAAATACCTGCTTACATTGCATTGTCATAGGCAGAGGGGCATCTGCTTTAGCTCAGAGGAGAGCTTATATCACATGTTAAAAGCCAGGCTCGGGGAGAGAAATAACACGCTGGTAGCTACTGCAGTGAATCACAGTTCAGATCTGCCTTATGCAACTCGCTTTTAGGTAGGAGTACGAACAAAAATGTTGCTTAGTAGGACTGTGTCTAACTGCATATTATTAAATTAATTTCTGCTGGAAATTTACAGGGAGATGATTTAAAAAAAACCCTCGTGTAACAGGCAGAGTTGCCCACCCGATGCATCAAAAGTAGTCTGAATCAGGCCCGCCCCCAAAAATCACAAGATAGGTTTAAAAAAAATCATGAGATTAAAAAAAAAACAACACAGCAATTAACCCATTTTCAAGGCTTCTGTGGATGATTATTATTTGTACTCCTGCATTTAGGGTGCTAATTGTTTTTCCTGGTTGTAGAAACCAGTAGGCCAGAAACATATTTGTTTAAGAGAAAGAAAATGATGTTTCTTGTGTCATCACAAGAGTCCAGGAGCTGAGGCATTTAGGCAAAGCACAAAACATGATGGGACTCATGAGAGTCGGCAATACGGAATGAAAGGTAGCTTTTAGCACTGCCAGGTAGGATCATGTTTAAATGTACCAGGCAGTTGTGAGCAGCCTCTATTGATCCAACTCATCTTTGCCACCTGGTGGAAACACTTGTCACTAAAAGCCTGAAAAACTTTTTTTACATAACATTTTCCCTTCTTTTGGAGCTGTTTCACTATGGAGACAGGCAGAGGGACAAAGGAGCAGAGAGAGAGAGAGGATGAGGCGCAGAAAGAGAGATTTATCCCTTCCTGTAAACATCTTATTGATCTGTCCTTCCATCCCCATATAAATCTATTAATCTGCCCACACATATCTGCCCGTCTCTCTAGCCATCGCTATATCTATCTATCTATCTATCTCCACTGACCTCAGAAATACATTTCCATCCATCTCCATACACACCCCTTCAGCTGTGTACTTACCCTCCTACCCATCCCCACACACACACCTATCTACCTACCTATCCCATCGTATACCTGATCAATCGACAGACCGACCTACCTACCCCATATACCTGATTGATCAACCTATCTATCCTGTATACCTGATCGCTCAATTGATCTACCTACCTATCTATCCCATATACTCTTTTTCTCTTTCCATCCCGTATACCTGATCGATCGATCGATCTTATCTATCTACCTGCCAACACGCCAAGTCTACTTCAACATTGAAGAGTCACACCTTTAAAAAAAAGCAAGAAGAAATTACTTGTGTGGATCTGGTGCTGGCTGTCAAGGAACGTACTTAGCAAAGGGGCTGAAGGACGTGCCGAACGCCTCCTCCATGTTGCCCTGGTGCAGTGTCATTCGGATGGGCTCTGTCCTTTCCCTCTCAAAGCATGCATGCATCTTTCTCAGGGCGTGGGGGCCACTGCTGCCCTGGTAAAGAACAAAACAAGGCCGTGTTCACTTGGGAGGTGCCTGCCCAAGCGCGGCGTGGACCCAATACCTGGTGTGTGATGCCCTGTCCCCTGCCCCCTGAAGCTGCCCTCCCTGGGGAGACGTCTCAGCAGTGCGGGGACCCCCACCCTCATCCTACCAGAGAGCTTTCCCCTTCGTTTGCCTCATCTCGTTAATACCCTGTGTCAGATGCCACCTTAATAAGGCCCCTCTTCTTCATACAACTGCCCTGTGAGGGCTCCTGAACGAGTTCCCCTCCGTGGATACCTCCGGGGTGCCCCTCACCTCACCTCACCTCACCTCACAAATACCCCTCCATGATACTCTTCATGCCATTAATACCCCCTCATGATGCCCCCACCTGAATAATACCCACCTTCACAATACCCCTCACCTCATGAGTACTCCCTCCATGAAACACCCACCTGAATAATACTTCCCATTTAACGTGCTTTCCAACCCTTCATTTTCCATACTCCCCCTGTGATACCACTCTCTGGAGAATACCCTGCCCATGATAGCCCAGTGTCATTCGTATTCCCTCTGCCTGAAAAATACCCCCTCCACCATGCCCCTCACTCCACGAGTGCCCCTCCATGGTCTCCACACCTGAGCTACACCCCTGGGAAGCCATGATAGCACCACCTCACTAACACCCCTGCTGCAGTGCTGCTCTGTGGAAAATACTCCTCCCCGCCCACCCCACCCCACGTAGCACCCATCGCTCTGCTCGGGGCGCAGGGCTGTGGGATGGGTGAGGGCAAGTCCTCTGGCAGGGCCCTGGCTGGGGCAATAAGTTGTATGAGGCGGAGGTGAGGGTCAGGCTATGGACCCCTTGTTATGGGCTGTTTGGGGGTGAACGGGGCTGCCCATATGGCAACACCCACACCTCAGGCAGCCACGATGGAGCAGGGACTCATGTAGTGCTGGGGGCGTGGGGGTGGGGGCAAGGCGTGAGGGGAAAATGGAAGGAAATGGCATGAAGGGAAAATGGAGGGAAATGGCGTGAGGGGAACAGGACCACCCAGCTCTCTTGCCGCGCGGTCGTGCGGCGTCTCATGCGCACACGCCCGTCCCGTGCTGGAACAGCCTTTGCCACCATACTCCCAGCAGAGCTCACGCTGCTCCACGGTCCTTGCCCGCTCCTGCTCAGACACCCCGAGCACATCAGCTCCCGCCCGCCAAACAGGAGCGTTTGCACCCCTCGCCTTCCCTGCTGGGCCACCCCTAGACACACTCTCACCTTGTCCACCCCCAAAGCTCCATCTTTAGACCCAAAACACTTGCTTCGGGTGGTATAAAAACGTGTCCCTGTCCGATTGTATCACACACCTCCCGTTTGCCCCATATATCCTCTCTGCATGGGGCATGCTGTATTCTCCATTCTGGGGCATGCTATAGTAGGCTATATTCTTCTTGTTTCCCATCCATAATAAGGAAAAATAACTTCTTCCCTACCTCACAGAATACATCAGAGCCTTACGAGAGCCCCAACCCCTCCAGCCGCCTCCTTCCTTGGAGGTCGGACACCTTTCTAGCACCTGCCAGGAGGAACACGTCTCCACCACACTTCATTCCTGCCACCGTCCCCTCCCCAAGGAAGCCAGAAGGATGTCCTTGGATGCATAACCTCCTCCATTTTTGGCTGGCTCCCCTTTGGAAGCAACCCGCATCTGCCCTGGCTCCCACTCTCCTCCCATTTTGACCCTTGTTTCCTCCTTTTTCATAATACTGACTTTTTTAAGTTAAAAAAAAAAAATCAAAGTAAGGGGGTGTGGCTTTGCTGGCAGGTGTTAACAATGCCTAGCAATTACAGGCAGGCAGATACCAGAGTCTCTCTCTGTCCCGGAAACCTGCCAATGTACAAGAGGGGGTTTCGGAAACCGCAAGGGGCTATCGGACAGCTAGAAGTAATGAGGTGCATTCGTTAACCATTGGCCCTGCCCATGCAGATGCTGCTAGGGAAGCCAGACTATGCTCTGTGTTGGGAGCACACGAGAGGGCAGTCGTTTGCTAATGGAGCCCCGTGCTTCTTATCTGCTTCCAGCACTTCCCTTCCGGAGTTGGATTGTATTTTTTTCCATGCTGGGTAGGGATGTCTCGGGTCAGGCCTGTCGCGGTTTAGCCTCTAAAAAAGAAAAAAGGGTTGGGGAGGGGGAAGCAGATTTTTAAAAAAGGGATGAGGGGGATCTGATTTTTTGGCTTCAAACCACAACAAAGCAGGACCTAATGCAGCGATTCTCAACCATAGAGGCCAGGAGATCCTCTGAGGTTTCCACCAGAAAACATTTGTGACCTGCCAGGGGGCTTTTTTGAGTCCTTCAATGCTGCGTTACACAGGCAGAGTTTGCTTCTTCTGAAGGGGCCTGGAGGAGGGACCAGGGTCCAAATAAAAAAAAGCTGGGGACTCCCTGAAGGTTGGGGAAAACCGAGTGTGAATCACAGAAAAGCAACGAAACTCCTCCACAGCGGGCTGGGCTTCCTGACTCGGCTTTTCCAGTAGTCGAGGTGGGTTTGCTGGGTGAAGGCTGTAACTGGGGGTAGAGCAAAGGTCAGTCTGGCCCAGGACAGGCAGGGAGGAGATGGATATAAAAAGTGAGGCTGGTCCATGCTGATCCCTCCCCAGCTCCTTGCCTCATGCGGTCTCCAGCAACATGGCGGGGCAGAGCAAAGGTCCCCCTCTGGCTGTGCCAGAGGGAGCGGCTAAGGAGCAGGGCATGTGTAAAGCCATGGACCTCACAGCAGGGTCCCCCCCTCCCCACTCCATGTGCTCATTGCCCAGCCTGCCCCCCTTCAATGCACATGCAATGTGAAGACAAAAGCAAATACTGTGCAATGCAAATGAGATGCAAATGCAATGCCCACTAACATATTGCAATCCACACATCATGTAATGCAATGATACCGCAATGCAAGTATTGCTTAGTGCAAAACAAGACACAGGTAATGCAATGGCAATGCCATGCAACGAAATTCAAATGGAATGCAAATGCTGCACAGTGCAAAGGCAACACAGATGCAAGACGCACCAGCATAATGCCATGAAATTCAAACAAAATGCAAATATCATACAATGCAAATGAGGCGCAAATGCAAGATACCTAATGCAATGCAATGCCATGCCAGAGTAACGCAATAAAATTCAAACAAGAAGCAAGCACGGTACAATGTAAATGAGATGTGAATGCAGGACACACCTAATACAGCACAATGCAAACGCCTTGTACTGTATTGCAACTACAATGCAAATCCCATGAATGCAAACGAGATGCAAATGCAACGCAGGCGGAATGCATTGCAATACCAACCTAATGCAATGCAGGTGCGACGCAAATACAATGCAATGCAAACGAGATACAAAATGCACCTCAAGGCAAACGTCATGTAATGCAATGCAAATGTGATGCAAATATAGCACAGGCGTGATGTTTTGCACTGCAAACGGAAGGTGATATAATGCAAATGAAATGCACATGTAATGTAATACGATGCAAACGTCTTGTAACGCCAAATGAGATCCAAACGCAACACCGCCGTAATGCATCGCGATGCACACGTCATGTGACGCAGGCAATGCAGACGCGATGCAACTGCAAAGCACGCGAGTTGCCTTGCAATGCAAATGTCCTGCATTGCAAATGAAAATGCCAGCACACCGCCCCAACCCGGGCCCCCTGCTTCATGCATCGCCGCTTTAATTCCTCCCCACCTCCCTGGGAGGAGCCGGGCGCCGCTCCCCGGTCTCGCGACATCACCCCCACCCCC